ATTCCCAATATATGGGCAAAATGTTCCCACCAACCAGAAATAGTAAAAACATCCCCAGACTTTATCATAAATGATTGGTGTATACCATCAAAACGTGGTTTTATATAATATATATATATATACATTGCATCATTTCTTTACTAGCATTTTGTTGACCAATGTCCACCATTCGTCTTGGTTCACCCCCTTCAAGTACGTTCAATGACTTATGCCTGTAAATGTTATTTCAGTCATTTCAGTAAAGCACATGAGATCAAATGGGTCTCTCTGAAAAACTGTTTAGTCATCATGATCCCTATCACAATGGCCAGCTCCTCGGGTCTCCTTTCGCTTGCTTTAGCGCATCTTTCCATCTGTCAAGAAGTTTTGGATAAGAAAAAATAACCTTTTGGAAAATGGAGAACTAGATTCTGAAAAACTATTTATGGTCATCTGAGTATCCACTAAGACAAACGTTGCCCAAGAAGTCTAATGATGTTAATGTTGGATTCTGATCAGTGCAATGGAGCGGTATTGTGTCAACTTTTCCCAAAATTATTTCTGACCCTGTGAATTGATGGGGTGGGTCGGTATTGTGTCAAGGTTTTTTTCAGCATGTTGTTTTTTTTCTTTCCCTCTCTCTCTCTCTCTTTCATTTCTTTGAGCATGTTTTTCATTTTTTTCAGTAATTATATGTTGCAACATGTTTTTGAACATAAACAAGTAGTTAATCAAAAAACAACATAGCAAGTTCCTTGTAAAAACTGCAGTCAAACATTGCACCCAAACAGTTTTTGGAATTCTGGAATTCCCAAATCTCAAATTTCAAAAAAAAGGATGCCTTATTAACACACCATCAAAAATCAGCACCCTAACAATTTTTGAATGGGGTAGCCCCTGACCAACATTGATCTTCAATAGTATGTTTGTTGTGTGGGCCCTCTATTGTGTCAAGCTTTGTTTTGAGGTATTGTTTCAAAATCATTTATATATGTATATATATATATAACTTTATATAATTATTTCCTTTACTATAGCGTTTGTCCTTGCATCCTCTTGTTTCTATGGAATCTCTATGGGATCTCTATGGGGTCTCTATGGGATCTCTATGGGATCTCTATGGGATCTCTATGGGATCTCTATGGAATTCATCTGGTGTTTCTATGGATTCCTCTTATATGCCGAAGGGATTTCTATGGGATTTCTTTGGAAATTCTATGGGATTCTTATGGGATTTCTTTGTGGTTCCTATGGAGTTTCCATGATATTTCTATGGGATTGCTATAGGATGTCAAAAGAATTCCTAGGGGATTCCTATGTGATTTCTATGATATTTCTGCGGTAGTTCTATGATATTTCCATGGGGTTCCTATGGGATTTCTTAGACACTATGGGATGTCCATGGGATTCCTATGGGATTTCTATAGGATTCCCATGATATTTCTATGGGAATTCTATGGGATTCCTATGGTATTTCCATGATATTTCTATGGGAATTCTATGGGATTCCTATTGGATTTCCATGATATTTCTATGGGAATACTATGGGATTTCTAAGGGATTCCTATGGGATCTCTGTGATATGTCTAAAGGATTTCAACGATCTCCCATGTGATTTCGAACAGAATGACATGAATTGAAAATATTAGTTATCCTTAGATTTCTTTGGTTACAAAGGAAAATGATTCTAAAGTAAAATTATATGAATTGAACTTACTTATCAAAAGGATAATCAATTGATAGTAGGTGGATATCTATCGAAGTCCTTTCCCCTCCTTACATTTTCTTAAGGTGCTAAAGGAAAATGAATGGAAAGTAGGTGGATATCTATCGAAGTCCTTACTTAGATTTAGGTAAGTAAATTGAAATCCATTGAAATCCTCTCTTTTCAATTGATTTCTTGAAAGTTTCAAAAAAATACTTCACTTCGAATGATCCCCACCATGGCATTTATACATTTTCTTACTGGCAAATCTTCTGGCATTCTATCTGACATATCTTCTGGCATATCTTCTGGCATTCTATCTGACATATCTTCTGGCATTCCATCTGGCATAGCTTCTGGCATATCTTCTGGCATTCTATCTGGCAAATCTTCTGGCATTCTATCTGGCATATCTTCTGGCATTATATCTGACATATCTTCTGGCATTCTATCTGGCATATCTTCTGGCATTCTATCTGGCCGTTGAGGTCCGGCAGTGCCCACTGGGATCTGGAGCTCGCGGTTGAGGTCCGGCAGTGCCCACTGCGATCTGGAAGTCGCGGTTGAGGTCCGGCAGTGCCCACTGCGATCTGGAAGTCGCGGTTGAGGTCCGGCAGTGCCCACTGGGATCTGGCGCTCGCGGTGGAGGTCCGGCTGTGCCCACTGAGATCTGGACTGCGAGGAGGAGGAGGCGGAGGAGATGGAGGAGGAGGATGCGGAGGAGATGGAGGAGGAGGATGCGGAGGCGGAGGAGGAGAACAGCTCTGATAAAATCTAACAAGCCTCACCTGGCAGGTGGGGAATCAATGGAAACCAATTGAAAGTGAATTAACATCAGTTGAACGTAAATTGAAATCGATTGAATGTAAATTGAAATCAATCGAAATATTTAATTACTTAAGATCATGAACCAAAATCATTCAGACCCCGATCCCTCAACAGTTACTAGCCTAAAGAGGCACCTCCAATTTTTTTTAAGGGGGGCGGACACCAATCAGGATCAAACATCTATGTTAATCAATGTTCCTCATTCTTATGGGTACTTAGAGGGCCTAGGTAATAATCTATAACCCCTTCAGGATCAATATGTTAAAAACAGCTTGCAAAGTTTGCCCAGCTTTCCAGTGTCCAGTTTGTTCTAAACCCATCCGACGCTCTCCCTCAAGCTTTGTTTGCTGCTTGGCAGCGGTTTCGCGTCATTTTGCCCAGGGGTTCTTGGAACGGGTGCGGGTACTTGCCCGCAAAAAGTCCGGAAACTGGAAGCCCAGGAGTAGGACAATTTCAGCACTGAAGTCTTGTGAAAATCAAAGGTTTCAAGTTTTAAAGTTGAAAGTGAGGTGGTGACCCCATGATCTCATGTAAACAAATACTTTATATAAGGGGAAACTGAATGCAACACAATAGAGAGATTCAACAGCAATTCACCAGCTATCATTTGGGTAGACCAAGCCAGACATTTTTTGGGTGGTGGCACGGTGGCACGAGGCGTTATTTTCCTTCATGATACATCCGTTCATTAAGGTACCACATGTTTAGATTCATTGTGCTATCATAGTAAATAGTTGATTTGACCCCGGCCCCCAAACAACAACACCAACACCAACACCAACACCAACACCAACACCACCAACAACAACAACAACAACACCAACAACACCAACAACACCAACAACACCAACAACACCAACAACACCAACAACACCAACAACACCAACAACACAAACAACACCAACAACACCAACAACACCAACAACACCAACAACACCAACAACACCAACAACACCAACAACACCACCAACACCAACAACACCAACAACACCAACAACACCAACAACACCAACAACACCAACAACACCAACAACACCAACAACACCAACA